GCTTCATGTTAGGATGTTGATTATCTTCCCGTCTTTGAGCCTCTTAATTGTAATCGTGATGAGCCCCAACATATCATCACTGTGGTGCCAAGTTATCGACTGTTCTTCAGTACTTCTTTCTGTTGCTTTTCTCTATCTTGAGTTAAAAAAATATTGCTCTTTGTCAACTTAAAAAATTGAAATGATAGCTTACCATCTCCTCTCTAGGGTCAACAGCTTTCATTGACATTTTACCCACCGTGACAGTAACATCTTTTCTCCCTCTCTGGACTGTGTGTTAATCTGTCTCCAAAGTGTGCTGTCATTTTAGCTGTTGTATTTTAAAGGGCAAACCTGCCAATTCTTTCCCGTTGGGTCTGTGTCATTCTTACCTCACTTTTAGATGTAAATGTCTATTCTCCCCCGAGATATGGGTGTAAATATTTTGTTGCCCCTGCGGATTATAGGCACACTGAGGTACATACTTATATTTTGTAGTTTGCCATTAAGACCCATTTTTCCAATTTTATAAACCTTATTTTTTAGAACAACCTATTTGAATTCATACAATTGTATAACTTGTAATATGCTGTTCTTTCTTTCAGCTTTTAAGGATCTATCTACATCAAGCCTTTTCTTGATGCCTCATAGAATAATTAACAAGAAGCAGTGCTATCCTCTGCTTTCCAAACATTTGATGTCTTCATTGAATTTTCTGTCACAGACATCCTGAGTGGTGTGTCAGGGGACGTACAATCATTCTAGGAAGAGAGAGTCGAGTTCTTCGAAGGATGAAAGAGGAAATCTTAACAGTATCTCCCATGAAACCTCATTGAGATTAAGATGTGGTGACTTGGGATGCTGTGATGAATAAGTCTCTTTTCTTAGCGTTCAAATGACTCTGAAGCCACCATTGGGTTTATATCATCACATGATAAGTTGGCAACAGACAAATGTGTGTCTGAGGCATCCTCTGCCTTCTCCCAGACATATGTAAACCTTGATGTGAGGGTCACATTTCTCATTTTGCCATCTGGCATCTTTAGAATGGTTGTTGGACCAGCTTTGTACATTTTCTGTGGGCTCTTCCACCTCTGATGTGAATAGTTTCTTTTGGAAGCTGACAGCTGCCTGTTGATTGATAGTGATACACATTGCACATTTCCATACTTGACTATATCATGTTATAAAGTAGAGCTGGGAGAAAAAGAACGCCTTGTTTTTCTATAGCCCTGAGTCTTTCAGGTTATCAATAAAGCTATAACGCTTTGTTTTATTAAAGGGGAAATGTTCCATCTGTTGTTCCATCCGAACTGACTCACATCAGTGAACAATTAGGACAGCTTTTTAACTAGCTTATGATCTCACGTAATGGACATTTAGTTTTTTTTTTTAAGGAAATACTGTAAAACAACAGCTGCATTCGATCGCAGTAATTTGATCCGTGGGTCTTTGTTTTGGGTTGGCACTGATTGCCTATAGTGTGAGTGCACCCTTATTATGGTGCTATCATCACTTTAGACTTAGTCTTGTTTGGAAATGTCACCATTGTGTAAGATTGTAAATTCTGTTATGTAGCTGTAGTCTTGGTTTCATTTACTGCTGTAATCAGAGTAACCTTTACATGTAGCTGTGTGGTAAACTCTTGCAACCATTTGTTCATAAGGATAGGTTCATGACATACTCCATGCAGTAAGGAAAAGGGAAGGAGGTGAGGAGGTCAGGTGTTGATGTATGAAGCCATACGAAGCAGTGCTCCTGTGTGGATGCCTGTACATGTTGAGCCTTGTCCTGCCGAGTCCCACTAGCTCACTGACCTTTTACTGTGTGGGTGGAAGCAGAGGGTGTATTAATTACCTTCCCAAAAACAGCTCTCCTAAAACCCGGCCAGCCACAGGATGTCACACAACCCACTGAACACACAATGTGTGCTCTATAGGTCTACATTACACTCACACACAGGCAATCTTAAACTACCTGTAATAGGTCACTTGGCACAAAAGAGTTGACCTACATGGCGGTGTGCACGTAGATTCTATAGCTCTTTATATACTGTATGTTTACTTGTAGCCATTTCCTCAGTACTGAGATTATTCAGCCTTGGGATAGGGGTTAGAGTTTGGGAAGCTAATTTATCAGCTTCAAATAATATTTCAAAGTCAAAGTCAACTTTATTGTCAATTTCAAAATATGCCAGACATACAGTGGAGTCGAAATTGCGTTTGTCTCCGTCCCACAGTGCAATACAACCAAAATAAGATAAAATAAGATAAAATAAAATAACGTAAAATAGATCAAATAAAATAAGGTAAAATAAGATAAATAATATTTACAGTAATAAATTCTAAATAGTGCAAAAGGTACAAAACAAAATGGTAAATAAATTAGTCTTACAGCGGTAAAAAAAATGTCATATGTTAGCTTTGGAAAAAAAGAAGCAAACAAACATGTTCCTCGATTTTTTTGAATTGCCGGTCTAACCAAGAAGTAAGCTAGAGTACCTCACTATTTATAAAAACAAATTTTTTTTTAACCTCAGAATTATGACAGACTGGCCCTAGACATGTCAAAGTCTTTAATGTTTGTAAATGTGTGGTGAACATCAGCTCTCTGTCGATTTAATAAAAAGAAAAAGAACATTGTAAGGTTTTGTTCTGAAGTTTGTCTATATTTGTTTGAAGCAAGAAAAAATAGAATCCTGGCAGAAAGTTCAGCAGTGGTAACTTATTTTTTAAAAGGTATCGCAGTTTGGGATGACCAATAAAATTGGGGATCAAGGACATCAAGGTACAGTAACCCCTTCTTCTTTAACCCTTGTTGGGTATTGGTAAATTGTCGGTGTGTTACTTTAGAGAAATGCAACAGGATTAAGGAATTTCAGTGTGAGTGATAGATCCATGAGTTTGAAGGCTTATCAAATCAAAAATGACTGCACAACTATTGCAGTTGTACAAGTGACGCAAGATGGAAATGGCATTTGTTTGATCTTTGGTGTGAAGGTTGCAGAGTTTAATCCATAATATCTTCAATTTCATCCTTTTCATTCAATCTATTGTCTCTTCGTTTTCCACATATTCCGCATGCAAAGAAAATGCACCTTTTAGCATTTTCAGTATTGTTTTGTATGAAATTAGATGATTTTAGTTTAACAGTTGTGTGGAAATGGCATTAAAGTCATCCTCTTATTCATCTTCAATTTGTCGGTATATTATTTTAAGATGAGTTCTGTCCAGTTGTTCTCCCTTACTTAACTGCAAAATATATGAATGTCAGTGTGATCAGAAAACTCTCAGGTGTTATCCTGCTGATGTGTGTGCAACTTGAAACAGAAGATTTAAGGCACAGCAGTCTGTTTTTGCTTGCGTAAATCCTTTGTCACACTCAGTGTCGTCACTCAGTGAAGCCACATGTGGGGCGACACCGACATGACATGTGACGTCTGCTGTGATGTGAAAAGAAAAAGGTTTCCAAGGGAGCTGCAATTTGTGATTTTTACTGTAGAAACCTGTGTGTGTGTGTGTGAGTACTCACCATCTAATCCATGGATCAATGGCTCTTCCTTTTCAGATGGCCTGTGTCTCTTTATGCTCACTTCCTGCTACAGTCGTGTGTTTCATGTTTCAGTACCATGTGTTTTGTCCTAATTATTCTACTCTCCAAGACCTAAATTTATGTATCTGAAGACAGGCCAGGTGCAGAAATTCCACAAATTCATGCTTGAAAACTGGTCTGGGTAGTATATTTGACACCTGAGGGACACTAGCCCCAGTGTTCAAATGTGTTCTCTGGACCAATGAGAAAAATGTCAAAGGGAAGTGAATAACTCCTTCCTCCATATCTGCCGTTGAGTTTAGTTTCCCCTGCGCGAGACACTGAAAGGGATACTTCACCTGTTGAAACATGAATCTGTATTGACATTGGGTCATATATGTAGTAGAAATGTGAAATACATTTTGAAGTTGGTGCCTTCTTGGACGAGAAAAGGCAGAAAGTGTCTTTTTGGCTCATGTAGATGAAAGACACCAAATCCCAGAATGCACAGCACCACAGGCCACTCCCACTAAGGTCCTCTAGTTCAGAATCAGAATCAGAAATACTTGATTAATCCCAGAGGGAAATTCGATCGTTACAGTTTCTCCAAAATATACAGTATAGCAGTAGAAATATAGAAATAAAAACATTTACAGACATATTTACTTCAACACATAAGGCCGTTTCCTCAACTGATTCAGAGATTTCTTCCAGAATTGATCTTGGAAATCTATGCCTGTGTCCATAGACAAACAGTGAGAGCACTGACACTACCAGTCCCCCCCAGCTCGAGCCGGCCCCGGCTCCTCGTCCTCACCACCGCCGACAGGCAGGCCTTATGTCTCTGCCGACTGCTGAGCTGGCAGTGGTCGGCGGTGGCCAGCAATATAGCCGCGAGACGAATGCTGCCGACAGGCCGGTCTTGTGTCGGCGGTCAGCGACCAGTGGCGGCCCGCGGCAGCAGAAGCCAAAACACAAGACCGACCTGTCAGCAGCAGCCATCTCGCCGCTATATCTATATTTTTTCACCATGAGCAGCTTTCTCCATAGAGCCTGAACATTGCTTCGGGGAACTAGCGTTGTAGTTTCACCCCGCTAATCGCTACAGCTTCCGATGACGCTAAATGACAATTTTTGCGTCATCGGAAGCTCCTTTTCAGACTTCAGAAATACAAAGATTTCCCATCTCAGGGGAAAATGAGGACGGGATGCACGACCATTCAAAAATATGAATGCAAATGGGTGAAGTATCCCTTTAACCTTCACCCCTTTACTGAAGCTTCAGAAACTAGAAGCAGCATTAGGCTGTGATTTACTGGAAACCTCCCAGGAGACACCTGAATACAAGCATGCAATCTTTCAGGTTTCCTGGAAGAGTGAAAGCGTTATGTTTTTAAAAAAGCATTAAAAATGAATTAACCCGTCTGTTCTGATTTTAACATTGATGAGCGATCTGTGGATAATTATGTGTTCTATGTCTTCTTTCCCAGATGAAGACCGTCAGTGTTGCACTGGTGTTGTGTCTCAATGTGGGAGTGGACCCTCCTGATGTCGTCAAGACTTCCCCCTGTGCCAGACTGGAGTGCTGGATAGGTGAGTGAGTTTACCCAGATTAACATAAAGATGAATGTCAGAGATACATGCACTCTAAAACAACATTTAGTGTTGGGAAAAGCCACTCTTCAGAAATATGATGCATACAGTATGTTTTAGTTATGACTTAACTGTGCAAATTGTTCACAAGACACATGAAGAAACCCAGTACATACCAAACATGCCAACTCTTCTTGTCAGACTCATACCTGAACCAACAGACATAGTGATAACACACCATGAGTCAATGACTATAGTAGCTGCATTTGAATAGTTAAAGGAGCAATATATAACTCCGACACGTAGCGTTTAAAATGGGTACTGCGATCCAAATTCAAAACAGTTGAGAGAGCTGTCTTCCCCCAGCCCCCTCCTTCCCAGAGTTAGATTTGCAGGCAGGTTGCCATGTCACAGACACGAAAGCTTTAGTGTTTAGCCAGCTGTACATTGGTCTTTAAACCTTTCCGCGCTCTAACCCCCCCCTCTTTTTTCAAATACACCTCCAATATTTATCCTAGTTTTCCTTCCATCGCTGCATCACCTGTTGGTTTGCAGTGATAACTTGTCTCATATGGGGTGCCTAAAACGGCCTCCCTTCTCTGTTCAAAACAAATACAGACCACTCCAGACCGGAATTGAAACTTAGATGGAGGACATACTGGCTGCTGCATTGTTAACAGAGAAGCCAGCACTTCAATATAGCATGTTTCCTTAATGTCTGATGATATAGTAAGGTCATTTTATGATTTAATTCAGTAGATATCTTACATAGTGCTCCTTTAAAAAAAAAAGACTTCTTTGTCTTTTCCTCAACACTTTTACTTGACTTCAACGAAAAGTGTTTCAAGGTCAAATTGAAAGGACAACTTAAGAGGACTTTGGAAAAGGCAGTCATGATGTGAAGATAATTAGACTTCACTAAGCTGCTTTAACATTAGGGCTGCGTTCTTACGGCCAACTTCCACCAGATGCGTGTCCAGTCCGTCTCCGCTCCGTTCCGGCAGCAGAGGTGATAGGTTTTCATTTTATTCAATGTGTGTACTTCCACTGGGTCCGCAGCGCTGCGTCTCTGCTCTGTCTCAGCTCCGGCAGTCCGGTGCCCTCCGCAGCAGATACGCAAGGCTTCTATTTTTGCCAGATGCCGGAGCCCGACGCATCAATTTAGCACAGAAAAGAGCAAGCGGGACGGGAAGTCAGACACCAAAACAACATTAAAACATCCGGTTAATTTTCACAATAAAACAATCCGTTTCAGAAAAATTACCGTTTGTGAGTTTGTTTATGTGTTTATAGAGTTTATATAGAGTTTTATACCACATACATCGTATTCTCTCGCACTGTCGCGAGTTGGTTTACTGCGGGAATTCCTTTGTCTCTGCACTCCAGCTGATGGTTGTGCTCTCCGTGCTGCGGACGGAGGACGGGTGTTGACGGACGAGGGTGCACTGAGCCGAAACGGACCGGAGCGGACATGCAATGCACACGTATCTGGTGCAAGTTCGGTGTTATAATTAACATAACAGTCAAGCATACGTCCCATTTTTTTCTTGGTCGGGAAAAAAATCAACAGAGACTGCACTTTGTTGTCTGCTGAGCCTGAACCATCTGTAGTGATAGCAGCTACACCTTCCCCTATAAAGGAGGCCTTATAGGTAACATTTTCAAATGAATTTGTTTGGTGTGCGTTTTTACGAGAAGTTTAACCCTCATGAGTACAGAGAAGTGGGAGTGAGTTGTTAAGTTACATTCCATAGCAGGAAATGTTTTGTGTTTACTGCGCTGAGTGAATAGAGCACCTGTGCAATGTTAACACAACGTCAGAAAACCATTCTTCACTAGCTAGTTAGTTAACTGGTTAGCAGCTATGAGCCAAACACTCAAGCTTGTTATTATATTTTTACAATTTTTTATATTCTTTACAAGTCAGGACATCTACCGAATTTCCCTCTGGGATTAATAAAGTATTTATGATTCTGATTAGTATCTTTGCTAAACCTGTTTTTAACGTCCCTGTGAAAGGAAAAATACATTTTCTAGGTTTTATCCAGCTGTCCTATGTTTAATGTTCATATATCTGCCAAATATATTTCAAAAAAGCATTATCTAAGTATTTTAACATCAAAAGAACTATTTTCTCTTCCTGTAAAATGTTCTAAATGTTGGATATTTGCTTTTATTCTATTCTGTTATTTATTTTATTCTCATATTTTATTTTATGTAGTATCTTTGTTTTCTTTCATTGAGATTTATTCCAAATTTAATTGAGTTATTTTAAATGTGCTTCATACTAGACTTGACTTGAGGACTTCTCCTGCACTCAGGGGCATTTACTAATTTTCTACCAATTAAAAAGCCTTTAGATCCAATCAAATTCATCCCAATGTTATGTCCCGCGATCTTGTGATTGGTTCTATCCGGTTTCAGAAAAATATGTCATGACACGACAGTTAAATACTCTCAAAGTTGCGTTTCATTGTCACTTTAACAGCTGTGAAAGTTAGCAAAAATCCTTTGGTTCAATGCTCTTTAGTGCTGGTAGCCATTAAACACTACTGCCAAATTTTACTTTCTATTAAAAGTTTGGGTTTTCACTGTAGCATTTAGAGACAAACTCTGCCATCCCTAAAGGAGTTTATAAGGTCTTTGTCATCTAAGTATAAGCCAGTCTTGCCCCCCACTAGAACCCCTTGGCTTGACACAGAACATAAACAAAGGAACCATCTTCATTGAATAAGAGCCTTAAAAACATTGTTCAGGTCCCCTGAGACTGCTTCACTCTCAGGAGTTTTGTAAGCACATTAAAGCGAGAACACTGGTCTCAAAGTTTCTTAAAGTCTCTCAGCCGCCTCTAAGGACACTCACTGTGTGCAGACCTGTCATTTTGTTATTGAGACATACTGTGGGAATATGGAGGGTTGATACAAACACTGAGGCCGAAAATGCACCTGAAGGTTTGATTAACAGACACAAGCTTTTAAAGTTTCCATCACAGCAGGACATTGTAAAATGTAAAAGCCTATCATGAGAATATATGAGTGCAGGCCTTACTGTTGCACTTCTACTGCTATGGGCGACTCATAGGGCGATACTGTATGTTTTCTTTCATGCAGAAATAAGAGACCATTCTCCTTCTTCCTTAATAAAAAGTCTTGTTTTTTTGTTTTAAAGCTGTTGAGAACAGCCCCCAAAGATATTAAGAAGTAATAGATCTTAACAAATTAACTTTTTGTTGTTGTTTCTGTCCGTATTCATCATAAAGCAAGTGGTTTAACTTTCAGCATAAAACATATCAGTGTCTCCCACAAACCTGTCAATCAATTTTCCCTTGCCTGTTGAACGCAATTGGATCCGTCCTCAACCTATATTCTGCTATTCTCCATGCCATATTGATTCACTCTCATCAATATTTCATCTCGAGGGCCTGCTACTATTTTTCCAACCCTTGCTTCAAGTATTTCTTTGATCCTTGAAAGATAAGCTCTAACGTATTTACTTATTTTCACCTGAATGTTTTCATTTTTCAATTAGTGATGAAAATGTGTGTGGTGGACAGTCTAATAGCAGTTGGTTTGTCAGCCCTAGATTGTGTGTGTTTCTAACTGTTGTGTGCTTCATATGTGAATGCAGTGTCTTTGCACTTTGTCTTCATGCCAGATCCTCTGTCGATGAGTCCACAGAAAGCCCTGGAGACCATCGGGGCCAATCTGCAGAAGCAATATGAAAATTGGCAACCCAGGGTGAGTGGGTTCACAAGAACCAGTCTTCCTCCTTCTTGTTGCATGTTCTCATAATGACACGGTGACAACACACATGTACTCAAACACAAACCCTGATGAGTCAATGAATGCTTTAGTTAAAACACCTGATTTGAAACAAAATGAATCACTCTAAGACTTAATCTCGGTCTCATATCAAATTTTATCGAATCGATTTATAAGTCATACTCCTTCTTCAAGGATATTTTGTTTTTGGTTTCAGATATTTTGGCCGACTATTCAGGGTATCACGGCCGTCTTTTATTGTATTGTCAGCTCTGTTTGTTTCTAACAGATGACACGAGGGCATCAATAAGCCTGATGTGTGTGAGAATAAAGGCTGTACCTGCAGTTGTCATGGTTACTTTGGGGCGGCTGTGGCTCAGTTGGTAGAGTCGTCGCCTCTCACTTAACCCTGAATTGCTCCCGCTGATTCGGTGGCGGTGTATGAATGGCATTAGTTACTTCTGATGGATGATACTACATAGCGATCATCACTACCATCAGTGTGTGAAAGGGTGTGAATGTGTAGGTGTGACATGTGGTGTAAAAGCGCTTTGAGTAGTTGGAAGACTAGAAAAGCGCTATATAAGCTCAAATCCATTTACCATTTACTTTGTGGCTCCTAATTTACTGTGATTATGTTGAGTGACCATATCGGCGTGTAAAATGATGAGTGGGTTAATTTCAGAAATCCCACTGTGTCAGCTCCATTGCTCTTCCTGTAAATAGAGCTGTAGCAACATAACACCCACAAGCTTTTCATGCTTTTGACTGAGATTCATAGTTTTTTTTATAAACAGATGCATCATGAGTTCCCATAAATTCAGCTTTTACAAGTGTGCGTGTGTGTGTGTGTACGTGTGTGTGTGTACATGCATCCGTATCCTTCATTATTCATTCCCGTTGTTGCACCATTAAGAGCAGGACGGTTGATGCTTCCTGCACCATGGCAGGTGCAAGACACATTATTATGCTACATAAATTAAATAAGCTGCCACTTTAACAACATAATAAAGCATCATACACGAAGATGTATGTACATTATAAACTAGACAGCAACTACAGTTCACAAAAAAACACACATTAAAAAAGATAGAGAGCCTGCACTATTCCGTTTCTAGGCAACAGAGTTGTTCTGATCTTCAGAGTGAGTTACAACATTCAGTGAGATTTTTTCTTCTTCTGATTTCATCCGTCTGGACCTCTTTCTTCAAGCCCCGAGCACTGAAAAGTCACCAAGAGTTCAAAGATTGTTTAACTTTAAACTTCTCCATTCCTTCATTCTCGATGCTAATATAATCAATCCACTCTGATTTCAATGCATTTCTTGAATACAAACATTTGTGTATCTCTGCCGTTACTAACGTAACAGGGATTACTGTCAAAAGCAGCAGACAAACCTCCCACATTTCACTGAATGTCAGAGATCCTTAAGAAAATGTAGAAGTCAGAACAGATGCTACTTAGTATTGTAGAAGTTACTTTGTTCAATATAAAATGTGATTAAAAAACATAATGAAAGCATGCATACATGTATTAAACCACAGTTTGTTGTCACTGTGTATCTTCATCATGTCCCTCTAAATACACATTCAATCCATTAGGCCTTCTAGTTTTATCACTAAATTATCACCAGCTTCATCTGCTGGGTTAGAAACAAGCGGCAACCTCTGGTCTTGAAAAATAAAGCCAATGCGGAAGTGCAAAACTTTGCAGTTTCTCAAGTGACCGCATGAGGCTGTCTCCAAGAGCCCCAGAAGTCACATACACACCACAGCCAAAAAAGCCTGTTTATACAGCTTCGTTATTGTCCTCATAAGCACACACTGTAGGGGGGTGAATTTAAAAAATGGCTTCGTTTTGATTTATTGAGCGATACCTTTTATTCATAGTTAGGCATGTAGCTGACATGATTGACAGGCGGGCGCGATGTAACTGTTGTGCAATGCTTGAAATCTGATCTGAACCTCACAGCTGAGTTTGAATTTAGAATATTGGATTTGAGATACATTTCAAACCACCTGTGCCGTGTGAGTATATTTTAAATCCACTGGGGAAAAATGACCATGCTGTTTTTTTAACAGACCAATGAACAAGCAAAATGTCTGTTTGGTTAAACAATAGACTCTTGGAGCCTGTATCTGATTGAGTTCCCGCCAAAAATATTGCATGCTTAGAAGATCAAAGTAAAATAAAAAAGCATGTGTATCTGTTTTGGTAAATAGTGCAGAATTGGGAGGTAAGAGGAGGCGGGAGAAGAGACTTCCCAGGAGAGAGCAGCTAAAATGTAGGCCGGGCTTGGTTGACCCCCGGAGGTCAGCAGCGAATGGTGGTAGGAGAGCAGGAGGAGGAGTGGGAGGGTGAGAAAGCTGTTCAGCCCGAGGACTCTTAGCTCACCACAGCAGCGTTCGCCAACACAACTTCCAAAAACTTTGGACAAAATAAAAATCAATTACGCAGCAGCTTTGTCACAAAATCTTGGAAGAAGTTTAAATGTGAAACATGAGACCCCAACTGACATCAAGAAAGCCTGATTGTTACATACCGACACCACCTGCAAGACGTGGGCAAAGAAACAGTTAGTGTGTTTGCACGAGGGGAGCTGCCCAGAGAGTTGAGCTGTGCCAGCCTGCTGTCACGAATCACTTTCTCAGTTTGCTTCTGTACTCTTACAGTAAACCCTCCTGGCCACAAAACAAAGAGAGAAAGGCAAATATGGACTTAGCTGCTGCCCACTCACTCTCTCTACCAACTCTATGTCTAAAAAAATATGCTGTCTTTCTCTCTTTCTTTCTTTCTTTCTTTCTACAACCATGTTTCATCCTTGCTTTCTGCACCATTTAAAGTCATATTTCTGTCAATCTAACTCTCATATATTCATATATATATATATATATCATATATATCTCATATGTTGTGCTTTTGATCAAGAAATATAAATAAAATAAAAAATGATGGAAAGTGTCTACCATGTGTACCATATTGTAAGATATGTCATATAGTGTAAACACTGAAATATTTAACTTTTAAAAGTTTGACTTTTTTTATTCATTAAACCACTGAAACATCAATTAGCTCCTCAAATATAGTTGGGGTGTGCAATTCAACAAACTTTTTATAATCTGGTGGGAAAACACCAGCTTGACAACAGCTTTTGAAAACATGAAGTCTTCATGAATGTTTCATTGTTTTGTTTTCATTAAATACATATCTGATGAGTTAGGATTGAGTTCTTACAATGGTCGGGTTATATATATCTGTTGGGTATCGTGCACTATGGGTTAGGGTTAGGGTTCTATTATTTTTAGTATTTTGCATTTGTTATGTTCTTGCTGTTGTTTATGTTCTTCTGTGTTTGGTTTAGTTTCTTCTTGTTTTTGCTGTTTGTCAAAGCACTTTGTAAACCTGTGTTTTTAAAAGGTGCTATATAAATAAAGTTATTAGTATTATTAGCCGTGCGCCACATGGTTAGTTTCTCATTCATCAGCTAGAGGGTCTTGAGGAAATCTTTGCAGAATAGAAGCACAATATTCTGCATTAGGATCCCAGAGATACTAAACTGCAAACATTTAAGGAGTAGTTTTTATTTCCTTTGTTTGTTTTATTCCACTCTCTTTATCCCATTTATTCCCAGATGCCTGAGGGTTTAGTTTATAGTGTTTGTTGTCTCCTTGTGGTTCAGTTTAAAGCAGGAGAGGGTTTTGTATTCTAGTATGGGAGTCATTATGCTTCTTAATTGCCTCCTAATGTATCCCGTGTCTCATTGATGAATTGTTCCTGGGCATTATATTTCATTTTAGAGGTAATGATGTTCTGTATTCATTTGCATTTGCATTTGCAAGATGTGGTTACAAATAGGCCTGGGCGATAAAACGATAACGATACTTATCGTTACATCATTAATTATCGCCATATAATTTTTCTCAATATATAAAAACGGGCACCACAAACCTTTTCCACCATTTTAAACAATATTAAACCTTTTCCACCATTTTAAACAATATTACTCATTAGCACACCGATGGAAAGAAATGCCAAACGTCCTAATGGAGTGTCAGTGTGGACCCTCAGCAAGCACCGGGCCAGTAAGTGTTACTCCCCAGCAGCAGCAAACTGTCATCTCAGCATTTTCCTGAACTGCACACTATGATGGTGAAATATTCCTCTGTTCAGGTATAGTTTGACATGTTCAAACAATATAGAATAATTAAACCACAATTAACCATCTTCTGTATTCAGCTTTCACTGAGGAGCAAAAATCAGACTTTCAATTTGAAAGAAATAATCATTTGACGTTTATCGTGATAATTATCGATATCGACTGATATGACATTTTTTATTGTGTTAACATGAATTTGTCATATCGTCCAGCCCTAGCTATGTGACATAATATGGTCATGTGATGGCTCAAGCATTGTGAGGTTCAGTACCTCTTTAAAAAGGCAGTTAAAACTGGTTCAACACATTTTTTAAATTAATAAACTGAATAAGTTCAATACATTCAGAGTATATAAATATTCCTCGCCATCTTTGTTGTGCAGTGTGACCCAAAGACTGTCTCTTCTCCACTGTCTGTGCTTTTGTTTCATTTGAATGTGTTTTGTTATATAACAGCCCAGACTAGACTCAACTGATGACTGCTTTTGTTTCACTTCATCACAAAAAGAAAGCTACCTCTCTTAGCTTTCACTTTCTCAGTCTCGACGTGCCTCCTCTGTTTCCACATTCTCTTTCAAGCTACACTTGTTCGCTTTCATTTTATCTCTTCATGTCACCTTTTTTAAGTTCTCTTTCTCTCTGTGACCTCTGGTTTATGTTTAGCAATCTAGTTTGAAATTCTCCCCTCTTGACCTGCCAGATGTTTACTAGTTGTTGAGATGAAAAGAGTCATGCTTGGATTGTCAAAAGACATACTGTACAGTATTCGCTGAACATGTTGCATCTGCCAAACATGTTTAAAGTAGATCTCTCATCAGTTT